GCAACTACGTCATAGCTGTCCTGCTGCACAAAGGCTTCCAGCTCCTCTGCTAAGCCCAAGATGGCCTCCAACCATCCGATGGCCTCTGACCAGATGTCGTCATTGACAGGAGAGTACAGGACATCAGTCACTGCCCCCTGGACTCCTTCCTCAGAACCGGTTGCTGCAGTAATACTCAAGAGAAAGCTCCTCCAGTTTCCTACCATATAGCACCTTCATCACAAGCTGACTCCAAACATGACCTGTATTCTTTGTCATTCAAGGATAAGGCTAATATACCACAGCAGCAGATCTAAAGATATCTCGGACCTTTTAATGATCTGCTCATTCCCTTAGCAATCCTCCTCCACCCCTGAGGATATAATCAGTTTGCCTATTCCAGGTGATACCACACACAACATCACTCCAAGTGAGATATCCTGCCTAGCAGTGATGCTACTGTGAACTAACTTTCTTTGACAAAGTCTGGTTTTCTGTTGCTTCTAGGAAGGTGAATAAAAAATGTCTGGACACAATTTGCTTTCAGGGTAGCAGCTGCTAACACAATACAGAAAGCCTGTGAGACTGGACTTCATCAACAGTCTCATACTTCTCAGCAGCTCTCAAGATTGCTTGCTGTCAGGTTCTACTGGCCTGACATGACAGCTAAAAATACTATGCTTGTAACTTTTCCAGGAGAGCGAGAACAGATGCCTCTTCCTGGATGGAAAACATTCTGCCCTTCATGTAGATATCATCATTCAACGTCAATCAGCAGAGTGGCACAATATCCTCCACTTGCTAACCTGCTCTGGTCTACTTGATGCCATATTTTCTCTGTGTCCCACACTTTCTGTAGTCGTTAGCAGAAAGTCCTGATCAATGAAGGTTACAAAGTAGATGTCTTCAGAGCTCACCTTGCAAGATGATTCTAATGTGAGCCCAGTAAGTTGAGTTTAAGAAATTTTAATTATGTTTTCTTGAAGTCTCACAATTCTTATGTGAATACTTCCTTTCCACCCACTTGGGATCAACCTATTCTGTTTCCACAGTTATTTGTGTCATTATCCAGTAGCTACTAACAAGTCAAAGAGCAAATCTTTGCCAGGACCTACAGAGAAGACTGCTATGCTGGGTCTGTAACTAGTGATGAAAACAGACCACTAGAACTCAAGCTGCACTAACAGCCTCATTACAGAGGCTCCCTGTTTACAGCACTAGCAAAGTCACTTCAAACTTCATTCCTAAATTTAGACAGCACTAAGTCATCACAGAGACATCTAGAAATGATGCTGTATTAGACAGAGCAACCCTGTATTCACCTACAATGAATGACTCAACTAGGTAACCTGCAAATAGATGTTACGGGATACTGTTTGGAATCACCCACAGAACAGAAGTGGGCTATTATCAGAGGGAAGGAAAGAAAAAAAAAAAAAAGAAAACTGCTACAGGATATAATGAAATTTATCCTTTCCCCTTCCCTTTCTCCACAAAACTCTTTAGGTCTTGGGAGCTTTTTAGCTCTCTGAGCTAAAATCAAGGGATATGTAATACTCACGATCCTATTTGCACAGCAGATCTAAGGGTAAGGCTGGGTATACAAGTACCTTGCAGATCTTAATTAGATAAGACCTTCGAATCTTCAATAGCAGCAGTTTAAGCATACCCTCAGCATGAATGTATATGAAGAAAACACATCTCAAAAATGACCAGTTAGTGATAAATAGCTTGCTTTAACATCGGTGTTCATTAGAATGAGAGAGAAGAACAGACACAGATATTATCATTAAAAATGCACTTCATTCCTACCATCACAGTGATTTCTAAGTTGTACCTACCAAAAGAAAAACTTTGCTGTCAGGCTTGACTTTGTGTTTCTCCATGTATTTTATGAGGCTACTGTTGGCATATCTGAAAAATACAGTTAAACAAAGACATTTCTGAAATAATACAGCAGTAAGAATATGGAACTGTACCAAGTGATAAGTATACTGTAAAAAGAACTGCTATCAGAAAACATATCAGATAGTCAGCTAGTAGTTACACACATAAAGTGTGCTTTTTACTTACAGGAGTAGGATCAACTGTGTACCAATTATTTCCATGGAACATGAAATTTTTATAGTGTATGGATAAACTATTGACACGGGCATATGACAGAGAAACTCAACTAAAAGTTTATACTCTAGTGTTCTAAAGTAACTCTGCCACAGAAAGTATACAGCAGTTCATAACAGTGCAATTAGCACAACAGCTAAGCTATCGTTTCCAGCTGCAATTTGGCAGAGCAGTTAGTTTGCCATTCTGTCTCCCTTATCCCAGCCTGCAGCAAACCATGCAATCCTTCTCATTCCCCAGCTCAAAAATGCCCCAAATGTGTATGACCTGTGCCTTGCCTTAATCTACAAATCCAGGGGTTATCTATAGCCATTTTCAAAAGAAAGAAGCTTTGTGCACAGATAAGCTTCGTATCTTGTCTAAAGCAAGCATAATGAATCCACAGCAGAGCTGGAAACAGAATCCAGAACTTGTAAATCCATGTCCTCTGCCTTACTCCAGAGTCTGTGTTGCTCCTTACACCCTCTGATCTATCACCACCACTTGACTAATTTAGCCAAAGTACCAGGAAACACTAAAAATAGAAAATTCTCAGATCCCAGATAGGCTTTGCATCACAACCTTCATAACACGTTACCTTCCATAGAAATTTCTGTCCCACTACTTTACTGTCTCCACATATCTGCTGGGCAGAAGGACCAGGGAGGTGCTTCCCTATTCTTTCTCACACAAAATCAATGAAGTTATCCTGAACAGCTAATAGAAGTGTTTTAAGCAAGCTCATTTGTCTGTGACTGCCACAGATTAAATAGCACTTATAACAATCCCTTCTAGAGAAATGAGGAGGTCACTCAGCTGATGCTTTTAACAAGCAGCTGAGGGAGAGAACACCATTCAAGCAGAACAGTCAATTCGAACAGGACAGCTGTTAGAGCTCAAACACTCCAAAATCCCCTCCCCAAAAAGTCAGAGGATATGAGCAGACTTCTGCTACATTCACTGAACTGTTATTGCATTATCATCACTTACGTTGTTCTCCTAAAATCTTTCTGAAGAGTTGGATATTCTGGCATCTTCCTTATGTCTTCCCAATCTTTATCTTTGGTGGGGGGAAAAAGGAGAAGCATTTACAATTCTGAAAGTGTAGGTTAAGTAATACATGAGAAGAAGTAACTACAGCAGTTGTTTGACTTTGTTTGTTGGCCAGTGCTATTGTTCCATAATTATCAGCACTTCCAAATCTCCATCAAACCGAGAGTTTCTTTGTACCTATACAAACAACTAGTAATTTCCTCTACAAAAACAAAACAAAACAAAACAAAAAAAATAACTCAGTAGCATTACATCTGATGCTTTAATAAAAATAAATTACCTGCAGGGAATCCCATTACACTGAAAATGCGATCTAGCTGATCGTGATGAAAAGGATTACTTGTTTTGATGTCCTCCTGACGACAATGAAATATAGGTTCCGAAGTCAATAGTTCAGCAAATATGCAGCCAATTGCCCAAATATCTAAGAAAGAAGGAGGGTAATTCATGCAAAACTCAACTGTACTTCATAACTCTGCTTTTGTTTCTGCACAATTTCTCAACAGCCGTATAACACAGTAAGATAGAATGCCTCACAGTATAATTACATACAGTACTTTAAAAATAATGCATTAATATAATACATAAGAATGGGTAAAATCTGGAGACACAGGTTTTTTCAATGAAAATTGGAGTCTCCAAATTCTGTTTCAAGTTGTACACTGGCAGTCCAGCACTTAATGAATTCACAGTTATGGCAGAAATTTACACAATATTTGCTGAAAACATAGCTTAAAGAGCATTTCAACTGACCATCAAAACCAAACCATACATTACATTGAAAAAAAAAAAAGTTCCATCACATATTTCAGAACAACTCCAAACAGATAACTGATAACCAAACAAATACTAAGAAGGAAAAGACTAATGACTCCTATATTTAGCCAAATAGTGCAAGCTAGTTAAAATGGAGAAACAAGATCCTAATTTTAATCAAGGGTAGAAAAGTGATTACCAAACTTTAAAAAATAAAAAAATACTACTTGACAGATTACTCCCACTGGAAAAATACTTGAACTGTCTCATCCACATCTCATGTACTTACAGAAAACAATAGCATGATATACCGGTGTTTTAATGAAAGAAAATAACAACCTCTATTTCATAAATTTCTCCTTAATATGCTTTTCAAAATTAAATCTATCGTGGACAAGAACATTAGTTTCATTTACAGGAGAAGAAATTTCTAGATTACACGTATTCGTTCTGGTTACTACTACCACCACCTGTCTTAGAGTTCTGTATGATCCAATTGCTTTACTATGCATCTTAAAATGGAAGTGTGAGTTAGTGAGAAGGTTACTAGCAGAAAAAAAAAAAGGGTTTGCTACATTGACAAATATGTGTCTGGGACATAACTCTGGGAAAAGATGTTGAGATCAGATGAATAATGAGCATAGATTGCTGAATACAAGAGTGTGAACACTTGCTTAGCAGTTGAGGTTCAACTAGATGACCCTGGGAAACCTTCTGGATTTTTTCTATATATATGCTATTAAATTTGATAAGACTTTACCCTTAATTTATAGGTCTAAGAGATAAAAAAATTACCTAACTGGAGTTTGGTTTATTAGATTCAGACTAAAGAGAACACCAAGAGAATTCTCCTGTTTGTTGCAACTAACCTGAGACTCAAGACCCCACCTGCTGTCAATGGTGGTGGTTGGCCCATGCTGCCTGTGAGACACATAGTCTCCTGAAGAAAGAAAAAGCACTGCTGTCTTTATGCAGGGAATAAAAAAGAGCCATCACACTCTCTTTGCCAAAACAGGTCAGTTCCATTTCCATCGTGTTACAGGTGTGGAGCTTGGGGTGTCCCAATTTATAAACCTTTCTCCTAACTTCCTTTACAGGAGAGTCTGATAACTGTTCAGACTCTACAGTTTCGACAGGGTGTAACTTGCTCTGTAACTTGCATTACCTCACCTTCTCAGGGTTTCATCTTCCTTTGATTTTCTTATTAGCCTTATCTGCACGAAAACAAGACCTTTAGCTCTTTGGATTTTATCTGCTCAAGGAGCTAATGCAGCATATTAATCACAATTCCTGCCTGGGTAGCAGGCGCAAATTATCTACTCCAGAATGGAAATTATTTATTTGAAGTATAGCATCTTCATTTAACAGCATCTATTCACTCATTTTCATACTAGACAGCAAATCCTTTTGGAGATAGTTTATCTAGAGGCCAGAGGAGTTGCAGCCCTCTTGGCTTTTGTGGCTTTCTGCAGTGCTCACTCTCCATCCCATACTGCAGGAGAGGCTGGGCCCCTGCTCATTATTCTATTCATTATTGCTCTATCCACACTGGCCTTTTCCTTTTAAAGAAAAAAAAATATCTGGTATTCTTGTTGACAGCAAAGCTGAACTGGGAAATCTCTCTTATGTAACACAGCAAGCTTCAAAACTCTGTTCCTCCTTCATCAGCTGAACTGTGCGAGAGCAGAGCCACCGTGGCAGCGCATTCCCAGGTTCTGACGCTGTGATTAATACAGAAAGCACATTTTAAACCCTTTGAGAATTCAAAAAGAGAGACATTGTACCAACTGGAAGTTACATCTGAACAAACACTGGTAACTCCCAGGCTGGTGTTGTATTTTCTATGGAATGGCATTACTGGACAAATCAAGCATGAGAATACTTTGGCTCTGATCCGTCATTTATAGTCTCTAGTGCTGGGGTTCAACCCTTTAGGTCTCCTGCTAGATACTCTTCAGCTTCAAAGAATTAATACAGTAATCCAAACTTACTTAGTACAGAAAACCTAAAGCTTTAATTTCCGTAAGTGAAGATTAAACAGCCGGAAAATGCCCTATAGCCATGCAGCTCAAGCAGGTCAAGGTCTTCCCTTTGAGAATCTAACTTTTATGTAACCTGATCTAGAACTCATCCTTGCCACATATTGAAACCATTCTCACAGTTAATGATTTTCTGCCAAGTTTGGCTAGCCCTCTTCTCCCCCCTTTTTAAAATAACATTCATAATTTACAGTAATTATTT